TATATGTTTGATATGTATGGTATGTGGTATTTTAGGGAACTCACTAAGCTTTGTGCTTACGGTTTTCAGTTTATGTTTCAGGTACTTCTGGTTCGAAGGAGAAGAGCTCGGATGACTACATTGTACACACCACATTGTTCCGCATTTTATATGACTCTGATGTACTTGGATGTTTATTGATACACTCTGATTCACTATGGTTATATGATATTGTTTTGGGATAATGGTTTTATTAATATAAAACTCAAAATTTTTAGTCTTAATTTTTGGGATGTTACAATTCAGGTGGTAGTCTCAAATTGGCTAAATTCGCCACTTCCCGCTAATCAAAGAAACAAACAAAATATAAAGACCGATCAGAATTATGCCGAGGAATTAGTCTGAATGCACGGGGTGCCGATTCCTATCATCTCTCACTAAGATAGTAGATTCACCTAGCAATCTTGACAATTATTAAATATCCTTGAGTACGTGCTTAGTCATAAATGTAGCTATTCATCCCCAACTGGTCAGGAAGAAAGAACCATATTGATTTCAATAATATGCCTTAAATATGTAAGATAGAATTTAGAAATTGTATAGAATACTCATTAGCGTAAATTGAGTTTCTCCTACAATGATAATTATACAACCAGCATAAAGACCTCATCACTTGAGGCTATGTACAGACAAAAGTGTCAATGCTCGATACGCTGAACAATGATTGGAGATGCGAAAATAAACAAAGAACATACAGAAGATACACTGCATTTTGATCCAAGAATCTCTCAAGAGATCACAGAAAAGATTGTGTGAACCAGAGAAAGATTTCACACTGTACACGAACGACAAGAGAATTATGTAGACAAAAGATGTAAGTCTCTCAGCTTTCAATTCGGAGACTATGTAGCTTCAAATGCCTTCACTTTTAGATGAATGATTCGATTTAGAGAACAAGTTAAATTAAACCGCGACTCAAACGACCTTCGAAATTCTTAACAAAATTTGTTCCTTTTATTTATATCAAGATGTTTAGAGAACTAAACATCATGGACAACACTTTTCATGCACCAAATCTCAAGGAGTGTCTGTTCGATGACACACTTGCTACCTATCTCAATGAAGTATACTAGGAAACTGTTCTAATGTTTCATATTTTTGAAAGTATACACGATTGAAATGTATATAATATTTAACAAACTTTAAAATATTTGATTCCGTCTTATTCCCTATTCTTTGTTTGGGTACAGACTTGTAGTAAAGCCACCTATTAGTTCGATTATCTAATCTTGAGTTATGCGACTTAAATCAACTATAAAAAGATCCTTTGTGAATCAAGCGAAACGAGAACGCCACCAATTGTTTTCTAATATTTTATCTACACGTTGAAATTCGGGACGAAATCCCTTTCAACGGGGGGATAATGTAACAATTGGTAAAAATTGGTCAGAGTTCGGCGGTCAAACCACCGCGAACCGTTATTCATAAAGATCCAATTGTGTGTAATTTTATGTTTATAATCTATATTAAAGATATTATATTGATAATTACTTTTATAACATATCAAACTACTCAAACCATCTATCGTTGAATACCGAATCGACAATCACCAAAAAGTAATTAAATTTGTGATGTTAAAAATAAATTTTTGCATTAAGTATATTTGAGAGTTATGGATAAAAATTTGAATAGATTACGTTCTCCTAATTCCATGGATATAAAGAACGTACAAAATAGGTATCGTATGAGAAAGTTACGTCTATTCTTAGTTATAAAATCATTATTTATCTAATTTTATTGAAACGAACCGTGCACTGCTTCGTTTGAAATAGCTACGAGCCTCGTAAACTATTTTTGAGCATGTTTTTGAACTCAGACTATGGTCTAATATTTTATTTCATTTTTATGACATTCTTAATCTCGACCAAAATTAGATTCGTAAAATCTGTCGAATCCGATGCAATTAGTCGCGAAACATTAAACGTTATTTTCACGGAAATCTATATATCAAAATTGAATTTTATTTGCATTTTTGTAACCACCAAGATCGAGACAATAAGCATGCTCATTCATAAAATTTTTGTGGTGTCAGGATTTATCGACACGAAAATGGAAAAACTGGACGACGTCGTAAAAGTTCATTTCACCGATTGCCAAAATATCTACCAAGAAAAGTCAAATTGACTTTTAATAATTCAATTTTTTTGCTTCTTTTAGAAGCCATCTCTCTTTCTCTCATTACATTTGATGGGAAAATGACTTAAAAGACCAATTAAGTTTCAAAAGCGTCCATATTACCCCAATTATGTTTTTGTTGTTCAAGAAACACCAACGAAGAAAAGTTTTTTTTATTAAAAAGCCAAATAAAGTTAACAATAAAATTAACGTTTTTAAAAATTGACCGGCATCTGTGGGTTACGTTCTTTGTTTACTGGTGATCAAAGGGTAAAGCTGACATGGATTATTAAAACAAATTACGTGGAAACATAAATGCCACAAGGGATATCATTACACAACGGTGAAATCTATAGAAGTGACGGTGAAATTGATTTTTACAGAAGGTGAAGGATAGTTCGTCGATTGTGCATCATCGTCGATTGTGGAACAAGCATGTCTCGTGCAACAAGCATGTCTCATGAATCACTCAACATTGATGTCTACCACAAAGGTGTTTTTTTCTCCTAATCCCTTTGTTTACTTCCATCCTGATAAAGTACCTGTTACGGGGCTAGATGTACGTAACATGGATTTCAAGGAGTTCAAGACCTATCTCCAAAAATTGATCAAAAATAGATGTCGGGATATGTATTACTGTCTTAAAAATTGGTCCCTCGTAGATGGGTTAAGGGAGCTCAGGGATGAAGATGATTATGTTAGGTTCCTTGATGCTGGGTTTGATGATGATGATAATCAAATCAGTATCTACATTGATGACTATCATGAACCCTTACTAGATTGGATTGAAGAAGAGAAAGCTGAAGAATGGGACAGTGGTACTGAAACATATGAAGATGATGTGGACTCGGTATTGTTGGATGATCTATCGGTGGACCATGAAGCTGATGATGAGGACATTCAGTGGCCTGAACTTGTTGATCCTTTTTTGTCTTAGAAGAATCTTATTCCAGAAAGAGGCATTGAGGACGAAGCTGGTGACAAGGTAAAAAAACATCCTATTCACAATCCTAACCAAAAATAGGACACTATGATGCTTGAGTTAGGTATGAGATTCTTTGAACGAGATGAACTGAAACACATGTTAACAAATTATGCTGTGTCTAAGGGTTATGCATTGTGGTATGAAAAAAATGAGGCAACAACATTGTTATTAAGGTGCAGTAAAAATGAAAAAGGGAAGCCATCTTGCCCTTTTAGACTATGGGCTAGTCCCATGAACAAGGAAAATTCATTCCAGATCAAGTCACTAATTGATAAAAATAATTATGCTAGACAACAAAAATTGGGGTGTCTTGTTACGTATAAGTCGATTGGAAAAATGTTAATATCTGACATTTTGGAAAGGCCTCGGTTTAGCTATAGGAAAATGGCAGAAGTGGTTAGGAAAGACTATGGTCTCAAGGTAAGTCTTGGGCAGTGTAGAAATGCCAAGTACTTTGCACTAGATGAGATTTCAGGCAATTTGGTAAGACATTATGAGAAACTGTGGAATTATGGTGCTGAGTTATTGAGGGTTAATCTTGGGTCAACAGTCTTAATCGAGACAAATCATATGCCTGATGCTACACACTACTTCAAAAGGATGCATATTTGCCTGAAGTCTGTCAAGGATGGCTGGATTGAAGGATGTAGAAGGGTTATCGGTGTTGATGGCTGTTTTTTGAAGGGTATTTGCAGAGGTGAGTTGTTAACAGCCGTTGGTAGGGACGCAAACAACCAAATGTACCCTCTAGCATGGGCTGTTGTGCCAGTTGAAAACAAGGAAACTTGGATGTGGTTCATTGATCTTCTACTTGAGGACATTGAGATGGGAGATGGTAGGGGTCTTACAACTATTTCGGACCAATACAAGGTGTGTTTTAGTTTTCTTTTTACTTACTATATTATTTTGTAATTTACAACTGAAATATGTTATCACCTTGTAGGGTTTGATGGAGGCTGTTAAGGAAAGGGAACCATCATGTGAGCATAGGAATTATGCCCGACACATCTTTGCCAACTTTAAGAAGAAGGGGTTCACGGGTGTTGAGTTTAGGAGGTTATCTTGGAGGGCTGCAAAGGCTACAACCGACTCCACTTTCCGCTCATACACGAGGGAAATTCGTACAATGTCCACAGAAGCTTATGGGCACCTGGTAGAAAGAGACCCAAATACATGGTGTAGGGCATTCTTTGAACCTGAGAGTTGTTGTGATGCCGTGGAAAACGGTATATCTTAATCTTTCAATGCAACAATTGTAGAGGCCCGAAAGAAAACAATAATAACAATGCTGGAAGAAATTAGGTTGTACGTGATGGAGAGGATGTACAATCAAAAGCTTAAGGGGCATAAGTGGGACATGGAAATCTGCCCCTCTGTAGAAAGAGGATTGAGAAGATTTAAGAACAACAAAGGTATATTATTTAATTCTAAGTAATTTAATATGATATAACTTACCTTCTTAATATGATTTCATAATAGGTATTGGGATGTTGTTCCAAGTGGTGAGCAAGAATATGAAGTGAAATTAGCCCATGAAGTTTATGCAATTCACCTTGACCGCAAAACTTGTGGTTGTAGAGCCTGGCAACTCAGTCGTATCCCTTGTATGCATGCCATTGTTGCACTATTATACCTGAATGGTAATGTAGAGGACTATGTAACCGTATGGTTTAAAACAAGCATGTTTGGAAGTTGCTATAGGTATCCAGTCAACCCAATTAATGGAGCTAACATGTGGCCTGATGTTCTATGTGATCCCATATTACCACCTAGGTGTAGGAGAATGCCAGGAAGGCCCAAAGTAAACAGAAGGAAATGTCCTACAGAGAATGAAGGAAGGCATACAATTAACAAGAGAGGGATGTCCATCTCAAGATGTAGTAATTGTCATCAAGAAGGACACAACAAGAGGCGATGCTCATTGCTCACATAAGGTTGATTTTTATTTTGATTATTAATTCATTTACATTTGTATAATAATAAATTTATTTGTTTTAACAATGCAGCAAATAAAGCAACTGTTAGTGAAGAACCAGTTGGTGAAGAAGGTGATGTTGAAGAATGTGATGTTGAAGAAGGGGTTGGTGAAGAACCAGTTGGTGAAGAAGGTGTTGTTGAAGAAGGGGATGTTGAAGAAGGGGTTGGTGAAGATGGGGTTGGTGAAGAAGGGGCTGTTGAAGAAGGTGATATTGAAGACCACCAGGAGGATGAGATTGACCACCAAGAGGATGAGATTGACCATCAAGAAGATGAAATTGACCATCAAGAAGATCATGTTAAAGACCACCAAGAAAATCATGTTGAAGACCATCAAGATCATGTTGAAGACCATCAAGAGGCTGTTGTTCAAGATAAAGTTCACCACATTGAAGTTGTTGTTCAAGATGAAGTTGACCACCATGAACCTGTTTTTGATGAAGTTGACCACCATCAGCATCAACCTGTATTTTTTTAGCATTTTGTTGCTAACAAAAGGCGATTACCTTCTGAGAGGATCACGAAACTGAAGTTAAGGAAGAAGGTGGTAACAAAAGATGGAAGTGGGGAAAGTCATGAAAATCCAGTCACTTTAAACTAGGATAGGTGTTTTGTATTAGGATTATGTCAAATACTATGAAATGGCACATCTTTTGGTGCTTAGTGCACATCTTTTGGTGCTTAGGCTTGTCTTTTGATGCTTAGGCTTGTCTTTTGGTGTTGTGCACATTTACCAACATTTAGTGCCATGTGCACATGCTTGATTATGTGGTTTAACTATGCTTAATATGTAGTTTATTACTTCTTATGCATATTATAACAGTTTACCATTTTGCCGTGTTTGTTAAAACTGTGTTAAAAGTGGTAAAAAGCAGTTTTGTGGGGCTTGTTGTGTGGACCATTTTGCCCATGAAAACCTGTTAAAACAGTTTTATGGACAATTATGTGTATTGCACTGCTGTTATCACTTAAAACTGTTTGAAACAGTTTTATGGACAATTTTGCCCATGCTGTTATAACTCAAAACTGTTAAAATAGTTTGAAACAGTTTTATGGACAGTTTAAAACTCAATTTTGTCCTTTGTGTTGAAAGACCATTTGATACACAAATTACATACATAATGTCAAACAGATTTATGGACTATTTTGCCCTTGCTATTTTCAATCAACAAAAGTATGATACTATTATGTGTATTTTCAATAAAACTACCCTTGTGTTGAAAAACCATTTAAAACACAAATTACATACATAATGTCAAACAGTTTTATGGACTATTTTGCCCGTGCTATTATCATTTGATAAAAGTGCAATGCTATTATGTGTATCAGTCTTCATAAACACCTTCTTTTCATTCCTACTTCATAACCACATTACATAAGTTCAATGAAACTACTTTGAAGATACATATCCTAATAATTTCAAAGTACATTTCCCTTACATAATCACATTAACACTACATCATGTACTTCATTACAAACAAAACAACAAACATCAACACGAAACATTTCATTTTATCCAATTCCTTTCTAAAACTCTTACATTCCTTATCAGTCTTCACCGTGTACTCACTGAAATCATGTTCCAATATTGCAATCTTCACTTCAGTATTGAAATCATGTTCTTCATCTTTTTTATTCTTGTTCTTGGTTATAATTTCTTCATCTTCATCAACCCATTCCCAAAAATCACATTTATCCTTTGGATACTTCATCTTCAATTATAACATAAACAAACAATATTGTAGCATGAAAAGCAAGAAGGGACCCAAACAAGAACAAGCTTTTAGATACACTTACCAAAAAGTTAGGACAAACCCTAAATTTTTTACCAGGATTTGCCTCTGTTGTTGATATCCAGATACGAGAAGGAAACCCACAATCACAAGGATTTGCCTTATCAATTGTGCTCTTTGACTTGAAATTTTTTGACCTTGAGCATGAGTTGGAGGATCGAGACGAAGAAGCCATGTTGAAGAAGTCGATTGATTAAGGAGCCGTATCCCCCATTATGCCCTATATCTACTTAGAATATGTAACTTTTAGACTATTGCCACGTAGATATGCCAACCCACCACACACACACACACACACACACACACACACACACACACACACATATATATATATATATATATATATATATATATATATATATATATATATATATATATATATATATATATATATATATATATATATATAGGGTTGAGATCGGTTGAGAACTCAAAGTTTCCCGAGAACCCGAGAACTAAAAGTGGAGCGTTGGATCGAAATTAATTCATTAAGGACATGATCGTCATCTTACCAATATTATTTAATGTTTAATTTTTTTTGTTATTGGAAAGATTAATAAAAGTTCTAAAAATTAACATAAAAAAACAAATTTCATATTTTTTTTGAAAAAAATAATTTTCGTTTTTTTCAATGGAGATTTTTTTAATTTTTTCAGAAAAAATGAATTTTCAAAAAAATGATTTTTTTTAAAAAACTGCAATTTTTTTTTTAAAAAACAATATTTTTTTTTCAAAAAAATTGCAATTAAAAAAAAAACAGCAATTTTTCCAAAAAAAAACTGCATTTTTTTCAAAAAAAAAAATCTGCAATTTTTAAGAAAAAACTGCAATTTTTTTAAGAAAAAACTGTAATTCTTTTTATAAAAACTGCAATTTTTTACAAAAAAAAATTGCATTTTTTTTTTAAAAAGTAAATTTTTAAACATCAGTATATTTAAAAAAAACTATAATATTTTAAAAAAAAAACTCTAATTTTTTAGCAAAAAAATCAACGTTTTAGGTGCATATATGCATATTTTTTCAAATGCATATATGAATATTTTCTTATACAATCATATTCGTAAGTAAATCATAAAAAATCTCAATTTTATTAATCAATCTATAAACATAATACTACAAGTATTTTATTCAATACAAAATAAAATATAAAAAAACCTACAACGATTCACAATACTATCATTTCTTCATATCAAGATTTTCATATTTTCTTCAATTTATCACTTTTCACCTCTTCAATTTTTTCCACAAATTCTTCAAATTCTACAAGAAAATTAAAAAAAAATGATTAATGCAAGAACACTCACAAAATTGTACATATATATATCATGTAAGATTCACATGAGATTATATCATGTGATTATATAATGTGTATCTTTTAACTATCATGTGAATGTATCTTTTAAGATTCACATGAGATTATATCATGAGATTATATCATGTGATTATATAATGTGATATTCACATGTGATTTATATGTGAATTACATGTGATTCACATTTGAATCACATGTAATTCATATGTGAATTATGAATTACATGTTATTTACATATGAATCACATGTAATTCATATGTTTTTCACTCGTGATTTACATGTGAATCATATGTAATTCATATGTGAATTACATGTTATTTACATGTTAATCACATTTAATTCATATGTGTTTCACTCATGATTTACATGTGAATCACATCTGATTCATATGTAAATTACATGTGATTTACATGTGAATCACATGTAATTCATATGTGAATTACATGTGAATCACATGTAATTCATATGTGTTTCACTCGTGATTTACATGTGAATCACAAGTGATTCATATGTGAATTACATGTTATTTACATGTGAATCGCATGTAATTCATATGTGAATTACATGTTATTTACATGTGAATCGCATGTAATTCATGTGTTTCACTCGTGATTTACATGTGATTCATATGTGAATTACATGTAATTTACATGTAATTCCTATGTGATTTACATGTGAATCACATATCATTCATATATGATTTACATGTGATTAATATGTGAATCACATGAGATTTACATGTGAATCACATATGATCTACATGTGAATCACATGTAAATCACATATAATTCACATGTAAATATATGAATCACATCCAAATTAATACAATGGATATTATATACGACAAAATAATTAAATTTGGATAATAATGTAACGAGTTGTTGCAAGATAACTAATTATTGAGATATATGTAAAATTTCCTAACTATCCCTATCTTTTAGCAAATGATTACTCATTTTTAAAATTCACATCCAAAAACTATCTAGGACCCATGTCATAAATAAAAGAACAAACCTTAATAGGTGTAGTGCATAAATACGGAGGGCTAACTCTTGAGTTTTCAGGGAAGCAGGTTGAATGCTGAAAACAATAGACTATCAGGTCTATTTTTTGCTCGGAAGTTCTCCTCCTGATGGAGCTAGATATGTGATTTTCTTCCTGAAATTGTAAATACAACACAAAATTAATTTGTATTCTATATTTAATATTTAATAAGTTCAGAGCTCTCAATCAAACCTTGGAATATCAATATCAGTGATCCAAATAAACCCAACTATGTTGCTACATTCAAAGCAAATAAACCAAAACAATAGTAAGCATCATATATAAGAAGTTATATTAAAACAATTTTAAAGAATACCTTGAAAGAATCTGAACTTGTTCTTTCGCAAAAGAGACAGCAAGAACTAAATTGAGCAAATCCCTGTTGATGTTTACAGGAACTTGTGAGCTGCCTTCTTCTAAATCATATAACTTAAACTTCAAGTTTGAACTTAAATTAATTATATTTCCATTTCATTTCTTTATTAGGATTATGAGGCCAGGAGATACATTGATCAGCCAGTTGAAGTTCCTGTAAGTTGATTATTTGTTCTATAAATTCTGTTATTTGTGCTTATTATGGGATTTACACATTTTTATTATGCTGTCAACAGAGTCGAATCACAACAGAGGAGTACTTGATGAAGCTAGATGAAGCACTTGAGGTAATTAAGTTTTTTTTTAAGTATGAAAATCACTTGAGGTAATCACCACTTTCTTTTCTTGAAATCGAATGAATAAGTATCTTAATCAGCAATTTGCAGAGGCATAGAAACACAATAGTTCAAATCAAACGGACTAACTAAAACCTATCACTTTGGCATTGGGCTTAATGATGAACAAAACTTGATTGAATATATACAGAGGAGGCATTAAGATGTACCTTAGAAGACTAATTCTAGTCTAGATTAACACATCTCACCGATCGAAAAAGGAACTCGTCTGTCAGGGGATCGTGAGAACCACCGGTAAAATCCTCTCCGTTCCAAAAGTACAGTTTCAGTGATTGAAAAAGTGAAGAAGATACTAGAGATGGTGTCGACATGTACCGAAGGACGGACCTGAGTTGCGATGAGCAATAATCGACTTTATGTGTGTGATTTTGATCACCTTTGCTAGAAATCGATGGTGATTTCATTGAAATCGGTGATGATTTTGTTGAAAATCGACAATAACTGTGGTCCTTCATCGATCTTCAGCGCATGTGTGTGAGTCTGTCTTCAGTGGGGATCTCTTTCTGTACGACGTGATTACACATACTTCGGCTATAAAAGATCCATCATAGAATATTCAGGTATTTGGCAATCTACTGTCGCAATTGAAGATGAAAAC